ACCGCGCTTTAACTCCTGTTGAGGGGGGGGACATTTGTAATATTGTGACACTCAATCATGGCAATCGTTTAGGGCATCGCAAAGCTGAATGAACATGTGAACACCAATATACAAGTTGAAAGAGTTCAAAAGACGTGATTGAATTTAAGCGATTTTTCATATTAATGCCTTTTTTTTATTTTCATGTTTGTGTTGATAAACCTAATTTTAGCAGCTTCAACCTGACGAAGAATTAATTAATTAACTTAACTTCCTTTCAATATTCTTGTTTTTATTGCTGGCTTTAGTTGAGTCAAATAGAAACTGTATTACAAAGTGCTGGAACAGAGGGACAAGAGGATCTAGTGCAACTCAGAAAGGATTTAACTGAGTTAGTAGAATTGACAGAAGGTAAGTTGCAACATAGACTGGGGTGTGCGTAGTGTTTGCTGCTAATGTCAAAAGGTTGCTTGCAAGTTGAAAAGTTGTTGGCTCTGCTTGTTGCTTAAAAGCAAAATATATAAACACAAATTATAAAAATAGAAAAATGCACACAGAGGTAATGTGTAGTTTTTATGACCCACAGAGGAATTTGTCACCATAAAGTTTGTAATAGCTTTTTAATAGTTTTTTAGCAGTCATCAAATAACTCAAGGAGTAGGCTTGCAGGCACTGCATGCTCTTGGACTTCTTAGACCTACTGTAAAGTTTCAAGCCTCGAACCTTTAGTTTCAAACACTGGGTGCACATATACTGTGGAATACTTTATTTTCGCTGGAATTAATTTTCGCTGAAAAGGCTTTTTGGGCGTTTGGCTTTGAATGTATTTTCACTGATTTTTAATGAGATTAATGTAAAATAGGGAGAAAAATGTATATTCGCTGGATTTTATTTTCACGGAATCATCCCTTCAGCGAAAATAGTGAAAATAAATTCCAAGCGAAAATAAAGTACTCTACAGTAAGTATGCTGTACAGAGGGCATTTCCAATATAAGCGCACATAAGTTTAATATTTTATTCATTGTATGCTACCTGGATGCTTAATATATTTCACCCATTGGCACAAATCATTTACGCTAGTACATGTGCTACTAGAGAGCACAAAGTACTATTAACAAGGGGATAATAAGCAATTAGTGTGTTAAACAATGAAGATGTCATGAAAATTGAAGAAGAGTCATACGAATTGATCACAAACTTGCATGACAATTGTACATTTCTATAAAAACTAATGAGTTGTGTTCGATGCCATTGGTTAGAAATAAATTCAATTGACACATATCATCATACTGTACATACTGATATTGCATACCTTTATCTTATTACAATTTGGATTGCGTGCCTAATTTCACAATCATTTATATCAAACTTGAATAATATATCACCTAATTGAATAGGTGATTTTCCGTTCAACTGCAAGACCTCCCGAGTTGCGTGAAATGTGGACGCCTGCCGCAAAAATCAAATGATTTAATTTTGAACTCAGATTACTTTATTTCGTAGCTCACATTGAAAGGCTGGTCTTTGACAGGGGAATATTACATTGGAATACCCTTACTTCATCAAAATTGGCCATCATCGAATGTGTACAGCACATTATTAAGCATGGAAATATCCCCCAAAATACATTCTCTTTTGTCGAATCCCACACGATTTTTGTTGCCACTACGATGATATGACCTTTGTTTGTCCGGTTTTTATGTTTGATTTCACGCATAATGCAGGATTTCGCAGTGAACAGAAACTGGTCTATTGTTGGGTCTCCCTCCTGGCTGTATCGAACAAAGCCTTACCTGTTACCTCAATTTTATTTTGGAACACATGTACAATGTAACAAAATCTGCAAGACTGATCCAGTGTAGAGGTGTTATAGTCTCTATCGGTATTTCAAAACCATGTGCTTTACAGTCAAATGCTGTACTTAGACTTAGTTGTTCCACAGACAGTATGCTGAACTCATAGTTATCTTCTTGATATAATCTACTGTACCATGACATCACAATGTTGTCCTTTGCCACTCCTAGAGACTTCCTAAAAGGTTGCCAGCTGGCTATTCTTCTAGATAGAATTGGCCACCACAAGTTCTTTTTTTATTATTATATATATTTTTTAAAAGGCTTGCAATCCAATTTTTCATTGTTTGAAATGTACTAGATTGTGATACATCTTTAGTTCCACTTCCACCCTTTACCAACACCCAAAAACCTCCCACTGTCACCCTGACCACCATAAGAAATCATACAATCAGTTGGTTACAAACTGCACAAACCCAATGCCCTCATTGTATCACTGAGAATCAGCAAGAGACTCCTCACAGATCACACAAAACAGGAATACGACTCCAGAAAATAATTCTTATTACATTTACTACCTTATTTACTACCTTATTTATAAGTATTTATGAATAAGTAGAAAACTACCACAAGTTCATTTTTTGCTGTCTTGTGTCGTGAAACTTATTAATAATTAATGCATGTCTATATATGTACTTCTCTCTCAGCTAGTTTACTTTCAGTGAAGAAGAGCAAGTTATTGGGTTTTGTTGATAATTTGGAAGCTTCTGCCAGTGGATCAGCTCTGTCACAGGTTATTATATTGTCCTTATATAAACTTGTGTTATACCCACGAATATTGGACAACATGATAGTTTAATCAAACCACATTTAAGTCCATAAATGCCTGGTGACAACACTGTAAATTTACATATACATGTATGCAATACACTGTGAAATAATTTATTTTAGCTTGAATTAATTTTCGCTGAAAAGACATTTTTGGTGCTTTGTATGGAATTTATTTTCACTGATTTTTGACAAGTTGAATGTAAAATATATTAAAAAAAGGTATATTCGCTGGATTTTATTTTCACTGAATCATTCCTTCAGTGAAAATAGTGAAAATTAATTTCAAGTGTAAATAAAGTATTCTACAGTACACTGTTTGTTTGGTGTGTCAGCAATGTTTTACATCAACAAGCAAACACCAGTTTCTTAATATGATTTGTTACTGGTTGTGCTGTCAAAACTTTTATTTCTCAGACTTCCATGAATGAGATCAGCGGACAGCAATGTCAAGATGACGATGAAGAAGATGATGAGGATGTAGATGATGATGACGAAGATGAAGATGATGATGATGAGGCAGCTGTAAATGCTATAATTGGTACTACATGTAGTGTACAGTACATGCCTGGATGGGGACCAACTCAGTATTGTAATGCGGTAATACTTTCTGTTGAGTCACTTGGTGAAACAGAAAATGACAAGGTAGGTTACAACACAGACTTGTGTATGTAACAATAACTGAATTTGAAGTTTTTACAATATAAATTAAGTTTAGGAGATTTATTAATACCCTGGTATGTAGTATTAATGTGATTATAAAAAATGTAAATCTAAGAGGTCTGGTGTATATCTTTAAATGATAAAGAATTTATAGTTTGCATACGAACCAAACTTTATAGATAATTTGTATATCTAGAAGAATGTAGAAAAAATGAAAATATTCTTAGAAAATAGTCTACCCTCTGGTTGATATTTGAACAATGCCATTTAATTGATGTTTCATAAATCGCGCAAAGTGAAAAAAACTTAATTTATTGTAAAACATCTTAAGAAATGTGCTTCAATCTCTCTTTATCTTACTATCCATGTTATGTATATCAGTTAAATACCATGGAGTTTGGGAGTACATTGTATATCTTAAGAATAAGCATTATAGAGTTACCGGTAGTATGTGTAAATCAGAGGTGATTAATCATCACATATGGTGTCAGGATCAAACGTTTTACTGTCATATTTATCACCTGTGATGTCATAATAAGTGACCATGATGTCATTATTATTATCTGTGATGTCATAATAAGCATCCATGATGTCATAATTATCATCTGTGATATCATAAGCATCCATGATGTCATAATCATCACCTGTGATGTCATAATCATCACCTGTGATGACATAATTATCACCCGAGATGTAATAATAAACATTTATGATGTCATGACTTATTTACATAAGTGGTGAGATAAACATGCATGTATGACACAAACAGTAACAAATGTGGTGTAGATTTATACATTAAATGTGAAATAGAGTGTTTGTCTTTCAATAGCAGTGCCCTTCACTGTTGATAATAAGAGTGTATTCTTAACATGCTTTGATTGCAGGGACAAGTAAGAGTGTTATTTTGTAATCCAACAAGTAATTCCATGTTACCGTGTCCACACTTCCTGGATGGAGAATGTAGATTCGATGATAAATGCAGGTATGAACAAACTATTGAACATTAAACACTGTGACATACACAAAAGATTTTTAAGCCAAGGCTATGCAGCCACTGTAAAATACTTTATTTTCGCTTGGAATTAATTTTTGCTATTTTCACTGAAGGAATAATTCAGTGAAAATAAAATCCAACGAATATACCTTTTTTCCTGTATTTTACATTCAACTTGACAAAAATCAGTGAAAATAAACTCCATACAAAACACCCGAAAAGGTTTTTCAGCGAAAATTAATTCCAGCTAAAATAAATTATTTTACAGTATGATATGCGATTCCATTTCATGTCAGTTTCATGTGTGTGGCAACTGAATATAACTAATTAAATTCCATCGCTGAATGTGGTGGACACTCTGAATAGTTTACTGAATGTAAATTACGCTCTGTGAATATCACTGTTGTGTAAGATCAGTATCAAAAACAGTCTGAGATGAACACAGATTGGTCCTTTCACAGACAGTGTTTTTAAGGTAGAGGGCACTGCACATACCAACGTACATGTATAGATAATTATTCATATGTCAGTATTTATTCTATCCATGATTTAGATTTTCACATGGATACATTGTCAATGTTGAAGACATCCAGCCTTTCCGAGATCCCGACTACAGGTCAGTGTCTACACACATACCAGTATATGCAATGCTCACTGTACTGTATATATCGATACATATTTGTTTGCTTTATCTCACCTGGGTTTGTACATGTGCTAGTTATCGACATAACCGTTGGCCAACTCTTGATGTTATTTAATGGTGTTGAGAATGATATCATCTACATGCTATTTGTTTTATCGTTACATGTTTTATCAAGCCCATACTCCAGACGATTTCTAATTTTGATTGACAATTCTTGAAATGATTGGTATTGTAACAGCTATAGCAGGAGTGTTTTCGAACAATACAAAAGTGGCATTCTCTGAAGCATTGTAGCAGCATTCATTAGCTGCAGTTCACTCAGTCTTAGTCAGATTAATATTAGGATGCATTTCCATGACAATGTTCCTGGGGTTTTGTCACAGAATGTTCTACGTTGCTAGGACTTAAACCACTGTACCATGTATTTATATGGGCTCTATGCGAGCTACTGTGGAACGCTGATCGAAGACCTGGTGAAAACAGATAAAAAAAAAACACAATCTCAACTTTGAAGTAATCCTGAGTCATCAACTTGCATATGTAGTGGGGATCTTGCTACACTGTTCCGGGGTGTTCCAATAACTATCCCAAAAAACTGTTTTCTGAGAGTTTTCGGTCTTTGTTTTTTTACCATGATGGTTGCCAGATAGTGAAAAATTCTTGGATGTCAGCCTCGAAAATAAGACATTTACTTGATTACTATGGAAATACTATGGATATTGAACTTGCCTAGGTGGCCTAAGATGCATTGTAAGACTATCTAACCAGGTGAAAATTCCACAAAGGCACCTTATGATTGGTTCTTAATTCATTTTTTTTCTTATAGTTTACTGACCCTGGTCGTCGGTGTTTAGCTTTACAAGATGATGGTCTGTGGCATCGAGCTAAAATAGAATCTGCCGATAATGAAGCACATCTTTATTGTGTTAAAATATTGAATGATACGGTTACCGTTCCAGTGGATGTCCTATTCCCAATCGGTAGGTCATTAATTTCTTTGTGTAATCATCTAATTACTGTAAAATACTTTATTTTGGCTGGAATTAATTTTACTGATTTTTGACAAGTTGAATGGAAGATGTATAGGGAAAACAGTATATTCGCTGAATTTTATTTTCGCTGAATCATTGCCTCAGCAAAAATAGTGAAAAGTATTTTACAGAAACCTTTTTAAAATCAATATTTTGGTGAAATGTTTTGCACTTTTTTCTATATGAACAAAAGAATATAATTTTCCATTGCTTGCAGGTCTTGATTCAAATTTGTAAAATAAACAATTGTGTGGTTTTATTTTATTTATACATTTTTGCAATCTTATTAGTGTTTCACGCAGAGTAACATCAGTGTGACCACCAATGTGTTATAATATAGATATCACACTTCACAAACACCAAATATGTTAAAATTTAGATATTTCTGATGTCCTTTGTATCATTATTAGTTGACACTGATTCACTGACTGGATGAGATCGACTTCCAATCACATTATTCTGTTGCAAACTACCTGGTTTATTACTCAGACTTGCAAAATGTGCAACGATTCTTGTATGCCATAATATTTAAATACAGCGGATAACAAAATACACTGAAGTGTGCCACCAGGAGTTTATAAACCGTATAGTCTCTTTTATGTTACAGAGAATTTGTTTCCAGTACGATTGATTAAATTTAATAGCCATGGTGAACAAAATGGTCGCAATCTAGGATTGTCGCTACCTTGCCATATTTCTCATCAGCTGCTATTTTGTTTTTCAGAAGCCACCGATGAGAGTTCTGATGAAGAAAACCCAGCAAACGAACATGTTGATGATGATGATGATTTACATATGGGTGACTTGGAGTGGAAAGCCACTGGTGCCACAAGATCACTGGGTGACTGGGAAGCTCATACAAAGGGGATTGGTTCTAAACTAATGGCAAAAATGGGATACAAATTAGGGTTAGTGTTTACTTGCCTGTAATGCAGTCTTCTTCGCCTTCACTGTTTTGGTAATTAAACCAAATGATTTACTCTAAAATACTTTATTTTAGCTGAAATTAATTTTCGCTGAAAAGTGTTTTTTTGGGTGTTTTGTATGGAATTTATTTTCACTGATTTCTGACAAGTTGAATGTGAAATATAGGAAAAAAGGTATATTTGCTGGATTTAATTTTCAATGAAACATTCAGTCCTTCAGCGAAAAATAGCGAAAATTAATTCCAAGTGAAAATAAATTACTTGACAGTACTTTAAACTGGTGGATTATCACAAAAATTGGTAGAAACATCAATAGTTTCAGTAAGATGGTCACTATCCTGAATATGATGTAATAAAATATATTACCATATTTCGTGTGATAGTCGATCAGTTTCGGAGCATCCTTTTTATGTATATATCACAAAGTTAAATAGTTATGATCAAATTAATAATTACGGGTCCATACATCAGACCAAACAAGTTTTAGTTCACCCCTGTATGAATTGGTATAGATTTTGTACTGTACCTTTATGATTTTGTAATCACAAAATTACCCTACCAAGAAAAAATTGTAGATTTTATGTTGTGAAAAGAGACAAAAGTTGATTTTGGTGCTCAAAGGGTTGATGATATGCAAATTACCTAATTAATATGCACATACGCTATATAGAACTATTTTGTGAAAGGTGGCAAAAGTTGACTTT